TTCTTTTTTCCTCCCTCCCTCCTTTCCTTCCTTCTTTCCTTCCTTCCTTCCTTCCTTCCTTCCTTCCTTCCCTCATTCCTATTTCCTTCCTTTATTCTTTCCTATTTCCTTCCTCCCTCCCTCTCTTCCTTCCTTCCTTCCCTACCTACCTACCTACCTACCTACCTCTTTCTTTCTTCCCTTCCCTTCCTTTTTTCCTCCCTCCTTTCCTTCCTTCCTTCCCTCCCTCCCTCCCTCATTCATTCATTCATTCATTCAGATCTGCTAAGGTTTCCCACAGTCCTTTTCTTGCGAAGCGGATCCAGGGAAAGTAACCAACATCCCTTTGGGCAGCAGATCTTCCAACTTGGCCCTTTGATGACTGGCGGACTTCAACTCCCAGAATTCCTCAGCGTGCCTGGCTGAGGAATTCTGGGAGTTGAAGTCCGCCAGTCATCAAAGGGCCAAGTTGGAAGACCCCTGCCTTTGGGTTTTTAACGCAGGCTGTTTCTTTTCCCACAGGTGGCTGCTACACTCAACAACCTGGCCGTCCTGTACGGGAAACGAGGGAAATATAAAGAGGCCGAACCTTTGTGCAAGAGAGCCCTGGAAATTCGCGAGAAGGTACTTGCATATTTCTCTCGCAGTCCTCGACTTGCGACGGTTCGTTTAGTGACGCTTCAAAGCTGCAGTGTCGCTGAAAAAAAAGCCTTTTAGCCTTTAAAATCAGCAGTGACTTGTAGCCCGCCCTTCTCAAGCTGGTTTAGGACTGTTACCCAAAAAAAGCTAGTCCTCGGCTTACGACAGTTCTTTTAGTGACCGTTTAACGTTACAAAAAGGGACAAAGTTTTTCACAATTACGGCTGTTGCAGCCTCCCCGTGCGGTCCAAATTCAGACGCTCGGCAACGGATTCCTATTTATGACCGTCACAGTGTCCCCTTTTGCGACCTTTCGACCGGCCGAGTCAATGGGGGAAGCCGGGTTCACTTAATGACGGCGTGGCTACCTTAACAGCTGCAGCGATCCCCCTTAACAACTGGGGCGCGGAAGGTCGTAAAGCGGAGCAAAACTGAGACTGGGCAGCCATTTGTCCGAAATGGTATAGGGTTTCCTGCTTGAGCAAGGGGTTGGACTAGAGGACCTCCAAGGTCCCTTCCAACTTTATTATTATTATTATTATTATTATTATTATTATTATTATTATTATTATTATTATTATTATTATTATTATTATTATTATTATTATTAACTGTCTCACAACTGTCTCCTTGAGCCAACATAAATGAGCTCAAATCGTCGTAAATCGAGGACTGCCTGTAATGCCACCTGTTTTACTGTCCAAGCAGCTCTGAGCGGCTTGCTTTCTGAAGCTGCAGAGATCCTTGGCCGGAACAAATTTTGGGTGGTCCAAGGGACAGGCCTTGGTGTGTGTGTGTGTGTGTGTGTGTCCGTTTGTCCTTGTTTAAAATGTCTGAATGTGGCTGCCTCTTCCTCCATCCAGGTGCTCGGAAAATACCACCCGGACGTAGCCAAGCAGTTGAACAACCTGGCTCTCCTTTGCCAAAACCAGGGGAAGTATGAGGAGGTCCAGTACTATTACCAGCGGGCCCTAGAGATCTACGAATCGCGCCTGGGCGCCGACAATCCAAACGTAGCCAAGACCAAGAACAACCTGGTGAGTTGGGCCTTTAACAATATCAACGACGACAACAACAATAATAATAATAATAACAATAAAAAAAGTTGGAGGGGACCTTGGAGGTCATCTAGCCCAACCCCCTGCCCAGGCAGGAAACCCTACACCATTTCAGACAAATGGCTGTCCAATCTCTTCTTAAAAACCTCCAGTGATGAAGGGAGGGAGGGAGGGAGGGAAAGAAGGAAAAAAGAATAGCAGAATAACAGAATCACAGAGTTGGAAGGGACCTTGGAGGTCATCTAGTCCAGCCCCCTGCTCAGGCAGGAAACCCTATCCCATTTCAGACACATGGCTGTCCAGTCTCTTCTTAAAAACTTCCAGTGTTGGAGCATTCACAGCTTCTGGAGGCGAGTAGAGTAGAGTAGAGTAGAGTAGAGTAGAGAAGAATAGAATAGAATAGAATAGAATAGAATAGAATAGAATAGAATAGAAGGGACCTTGGAGGTCATCTAGCCCAACCCCCTGCCCAGGCAGGGAACCGTACACCATTCCAGACAAAAGGCTGTCCAGTCTCTTCTTAAAAACCTCCAGTGTCATACCATTCACCACTTCTAGAGGCAGGTCGTTCCACTGGTGAATCGTTCTCCCCGTTGGGAAATTTCTCCTTAATTCCAGGTTATCATCATCTCTCTCTTTTTTTTTTTTCCTCCTCCCTCCCCATCGCTCTCTCCTCTCGTGATGTGACCTTTGGGAAGCCAACCTGGCAAATTGGCAAAGTTGGTTTGGGGGTGGTGCAAGGGGCAGCCCTCCCCCCCCACCCAAAAGAAAAAGTTAGACAAACCAAGTTGGTTTAAAGAATCACCCGCAACCTGGCTTGTTTTTTTTTCCCCTCTGACCTCTGGATTTATCTCCTCGCAGGCCTCCTCTTACATCAAGCAAGGGAAATACAAGGAGGCCGAGTCTCTCTACAAGGAGATCCTGACCCAGGCGCACGAAAGGGAGTTTGGATCGGTCAACGGTGAGCCCGGGATCGAATCTTCCCATCATTTGGGGGGAGGCGGGGGGAAGCTTCCGGAAAGAGCCTGGCTTAGGACTTCTTGGAAGACTGGAAAAATAGCTAGGGGGGGCGTGCAAGGAATTGTGTGTTTGTGTGTCTTGTGTTTTTAAGTGTGGAAAGAGGGCGAAGAGGCACAACTGGCTAACTTTGGGGAGGCAGTTTGGCCTAGTGGTTAAGGCCCCAAGCTAGACCCCAGGAGGTGGTGAGTGCTAGTCCTGCCTCGAGATCCGAAAACTGCTGGGAGACGTTGGGCCCAGTCGCCAGGAGACGGTGAATTCTAGTCCCACCTTAGACAGGGAAGCCGGCTGGGTGACTTGGAGCCAGTCCCTCCTTCTCAGCCCTGCCCACCTCACAGGGCTGTTGTTGCGGGGCATATAGGAGGAGGAAGGAATATTAGATGCGTTTGCGGCCTTGATTTGTTTGTCAAAATAATAAAGCTGGGATTTGAAATAAAGTAAGACATTCATGTCCTGGATACGTACGGTTATTCAGTTTTTCCCTGGCAAAGACCTTTCCTAACCATGTCAAGAATGCACTCCCTTTAAAAAAAAACAAACTGATTTTTTTCCCTCTCTCTTTTAGCTCTGGAAAATTTGGCTTAACATTTAGCTTCAGTTAGCTTAAATTTATATTCTGGAAGGGTCCCTCCCTCCCTCTTTCTCTTCCTCTTTCTCCCTCTCTTTTTCTCTGTCTCTTCCTTTCTCTTTCACACTTGTTTCTATTTCTCTCTTTCTCTCTTCCCCCTTTCTCTTTCTCATTGTCCCTTTTCCATCCTTTCTCTCTTTCTTTCTCTTCCTCCTTTCTCTTTCTCTCTTTCTCTTTCTCTCTTTCCCACTGCTTCTCTCTCTCCCCCTCTTTCTTTTTTCTCCTTCTCCCTTTCCCACTCTCTCCCCCCTCTTTCCTCTCTCTTTCTTTCTCTTTCTCCTCTCTCTCTTTATCTCTTTCTCTCTCTCTCCTGTCTCTCTCTCTCTCTCTCTCTCTGTCTCATTTCCCTTCACCCCCTCCTGCAAGGGGCTGTGCTTCACAAAGCAACATAATTGTGCGTATTCCCAACTCGAATTCCTCCTTTCCAGCCAGGATGACTCACACATCCGTGTCCTGCCTGCTCTTCTTTCGCTTAGTCATTTTCCTGTCTTCGGTGTGCTTGTCCCGGTGAGCAAATCTGCAATCTTGGGTGAGCT